CGGGTTACGTGCAAGATAGGGACTGTAGGTTTGTTCTTAAGTTGAATCTGTATGTAAGTCGGACCTGCCACCCAGATTCAGCCGCTGCTGAAACTGACCAGCGGCTGACTACAGGAAGCCCAAGGCAGAGTTGCTCTGCTCCAGGCTTCCTGGAATCAGCCGCTGATCAGTTTCAGCAGCAGCTGACTTGGGGACTCCTGGGTTTCTTAAGTTGAATCTGTATGTAAGTCAGAACTGGCGTCCAGATTCAGCCGCGGTTGAAACTGATCAGTTTCAGCAGCGGCTGACGCCAGTTCCGACTTACATACAGATTCAAATTAAGAACAAACCTACAGTCCCTATCTTGTATGTAACCCGGGGACTGCCTGTATATGTTATGATATGCACAATCTGTTTATCAAAAAAATCATCCACAATGTCATCTTATCTTTAGAGCCCTGCATAGCCACAGATGCTGATATCCACAGACCATTTTTTTGCAAATAGTAGAGCAAATGCAGATACCTACACAAGGCTCTGCCCCTGTCTGCGCTCTCGGCTGAGGGAGGGGCACTGGGTAGACCCTCCACTGCTAGCAAGGGAGGGGCATAACAGGTTCCTCTAGTTCATGCCAAACACCTGCCTGACAAGCCCCCACCTGATGAACACTGTCTTGCAGGAGCTCCAGGCCTGAGTCCAGCTCAGGGAAATACACCACCCATCCCACTGCTGTTGTGATGCTGCCAGCTAGTGCATATGGAAGCATGCCTGGGGGAGGTGACTGATTTCCAGGACAGGAGGAAGGCACTGACTTCCAGCAAAGCAGCTTACTTCCCTGCTCCAAGCAGGGAGAGCCTGACTCTGTGGGCTGGAATTGCAGGGGCAGCACCCTGGGCATGGGCCAGTTTCTGTGCAGTAGGGTCCAACCCTTTGCTGCTGGGATTGGAGCAGGCAGGGCCTGACTCTGTACCCTTTCATCTCACTGTGATGTGACAGAAGCTCAGGAGCTCCTGGCAACAGCAGCATGTGAGTCTAACATCCATTCCCTTTCCTGCATCTCCTCTGGAGTCCCTCTCCCTGTCCCCATGCTGCCTCTGACCCCCAGTCGCCCAGTCTGTGCGCTCGTGATACTGTTCTCTCCCCTCGCGCCCCTGCTCCCTTCTCATCAGGGCTTCCTCTTTCCTCCATTCCAGATGACTTGCTGCTGCTGTGCAGATGTGGATGAAGGTAAAATCCGGCTAGCATGTGGTAGATCAGTTGAAGGGTTGTGCCTGGAGAGTGCAGCTACACATTTTTGTATTTGCACAGGGCTCTATTTATCTTGCTCACAGATGGCTGGATCCTTTCATCTGACACTGCCTCTGAAATAGCCCTCTCAATTGATTCTTTTGTTTCGCACTCACTCCCTGCCCTGGATCATGTGGTGGCTGGTAAGCCTCTCCTTTTCTGTTCCTGCTGCTTCCAAC